GTATTCTGTATTGCTTCCATTGGCATATTCTTTTCCTTTCATTTATCATAGAAGTTCTTTTGCTGCTTCTCCCTACTAAAAGAGATATGATTTGGCCAAGGATCTAGATACCCATGTTATCAAAAATAGGAAAAGAGAAGTGGTTCTAAAAGTGAAGAGCTTGCTTTGTATTCTGTTTTATCAGTAAATAGGATGTTAAATCTGTAGGAAATGCAATTTTAAATATATTTGATAGTTCAGTTTTTGGTTGGTCAATTTTTCACTCTTTGACATCTGATTCAGAGAATTTGTATATGTAAATAGTGCTAAGATGTAGATGCAGCTTGACATCCTCCCCCTTCTGTTTTTTGGCTGTGGTTACCCCTTTGTCTACAATTCTCAAATATGTTAACTATTTACTTTATTCATAAAACAGAGAAGGCGTATGATAACCCATGCAAATGCAAAGAGCAAGAGTGAAAAGTTCCCCCCACCACACCAGGATGGAGCGCTTGGCTTTCCTTTAGGAGCATCACACCACATCGATCCAGCTCTTGTTCCCGCAGACATCCCCTTCAGCTCTACATCATTTGTTTATTCCAAAGAACCAATTCAAACTTGGTCAGGTCCATTGGTTGATTCTTCTAGCACAGGTGTTACAAGGCGAAAGAAGCATGGTGCAAGTGATTTGCAAGACCAATCAAGAGGACATCAGAAAGACAGAATGGGAGATTCCCGGGTCAAAGGAAAGAAAAGTATACATTAAATTCAGTTCATCCATAAAGACAGATTCATGAAACCTCTGGATGTTGTATGCAGACTTGGTTTCCTGGGTCTTTCTGCTACTAGAAGAAGCAGGTATTATTTACATTGGCACTGGCGTGTTCTCTCATAGAAGAATGTATTGCTTGGCTAAAGTGTACTGAGAGATGAAAATCAGTTTTTTCTATATATTTTTTCACTTCACCTTTATTCTTTTTGCCAAAAGAAAAAGTTCTCCAAGTATTGGGATATTGAGATGCTTTTCCACTGTTATGTATATTTCCCCCTTCTTTTTTGTTCCCTTAATTTGTTTTTTGGTTCTGGAATTTCTTTTTCTTTCTTTTCCTTTTTTTTTTTTCTGCAGAAAACTGTACAATTTTTAGATTAGTCGAGAACATAGAGAATTTTAATAAATGCTCCAAAATCCCTTCCTTGTCGGTAATTTCTTTGTTTGTGCAAATTTTTCTTCCTGCTTAAGATATAAAATATAATTTTGGCCCTACATTTTTGAAATTGGTTGTGCTTCACTTGACAATTGTTCTTTGTTAGGAGGTAGATGGTTTCACATGGTAGATGGTTTCACATGATAAAAGATACCTAAATGATAGAAAGATACCTAAAACATAATACTCCGGGTTATCATATTGTGACTATCATTTAATAATACATTATAACCGTAATTTTTTTTTTTAAACAATATTGTCATGGGACGGGTTAAAACTCGTCCAAAAGTGAAGGGAAAGGTTCACCTTAAGGTGATCAAAGGTCACTTGACTCAAAGGATAAGGTGCTATTATAATCATAATTTTTATTGAAAAGTTAAGTAATTTACATTATAATTGTAGCTTTTGTTGAAAATTCAACTCATAATTGATCTGTAACTTGCTATGATTGGATTCAAATTAGGAATTGTTGATTTGTGATACATTTATCTTTCAACTTGTGAAACCTGTGACCCGCCGACTTCATCCTCCTCGAGTCCTCTACGCAAATCCTACCCAGCCCACATGTTTGCCATCTCTAGCCGACATCTTGAGAAGCCCATGATTCGAATCCCCACGCTAAATTATAAAGTAAAAGTGTAAAAAATTATGTCAATTTTATAATTTTTTTTATTTAAAAATATTAATTTTGTCAATTTTTAAATAAGATATCAACCTTCAATATATTCTTTTTAAAGATATCAACCTTCAATATATTCTTTTTAAAAATGTCAACTTTTAACTTTTTCTAATTAAAGATATTAACTTTAAACTTCTTTTATGTAAGGGTTAATTGAATAATAATGCTAATGTGACAAATAAATTTTTTAATCAAAATATTGAAAGTTAACATCCTTAAATAGATTAAATTGAAAGTTGACATTCTTAAATAAAAAATATTGAAAGTTGATATTTTTATTTAAAAATTAACAAAAGATAACATCCTTAAATAAAAAAAATTAAAAAGTTCACACCCTTTTTTATACCTTTACTCCTAAATTATACAGAAATGTTACTAGGAGTACCCATTTCAAATTGAAGCAGCAATAACTGAATTAGAATTTCAAAACCCCTAACACTAATAAACATGCAAATTAGGTTTGAACAGTAGGTTCAAGAACCGCAGGTGAAAATTAATGGGTTAGGTGTGAAGCCCGGATTAGAGGATGCAAATACGTGGGCTCTCGGCAAATGGGAAACGGCAGCCGCGGAACCTTCACGTAGAAGCAAATGGGTCCATAAAAACCGCCCAAAACGCTCAGAAAATCCTGCATCTTAGTATTACCTTTGTCTCTTAAGTTTCTAAGGCTGAGCTTCAGGTGGTTGTGGTGGTGGTGTTTGTGTGACTGAAATTTTGTTGCTCGGAGAACAATGGGACCTGGAGGACCTGGGGGACCTGGAGGACCTGGAGGCCCGGGATGGGGGCCGGGACCTGGAGGACCGGGCTTCTTCGGCGGCTTTTGTAACGCTATTGGGTCTTGGTAAGTGCTATCACAAGGATGTTTGTTCTTAGCATGTTATGATTTTTCATTTACTTACCAATAACTTGACATGACTCTGCTTTTCTCTGTTCTTGCAGCTTGAGCATCCTCTGCTGTTGCTGGTTGTTTCAAGACTGTTTTGGTGGCCCAATGGGTCCTCCTGGACCTGGGGGACCCCCACCCCCATGAGCAGCCTGTTTTTTGCTTCCGTAGCACAGAGTTTTCTCTGACTATCTAGATCTACGTTTCATCTTCAGTTGATATATGTAATAAAAATCATAACTTGTATTTTATATTTGCCTATGTTGTTTTGTAGTTTGACCTGAATTGGATGCAATAAATTGGTTACTACTATTTCTCTCCCAATAGTAGGAGCCACAAATTGTTACAGTCTGCATTAAGTCAGACTATAAAACACTTTCTGTTTACATTTATATCCATTTGATATATGAGATTCTCCACAGTTTTCTACATTAATTCTATTGTATTTTAATATGTCTTTGATATTGTCGACTTATTAATATTTTACATATAGTATTACATGTTGATTTCACAAATCCATTAGTTGAAATACGTATTGAGCATTAAGATTATAGACAATATGCAGCGTAAATAGAATGTTGAAGAAGTAGAACTCCACCAAGTGATTCGATGGACCGCGCGTCTCATTGAGGAAATGAGATATTCATTAAATTTAGAGATCGAATTTTTAATTATTAACAATTAATAAAACTAACCTATTAATCATTGTTCTTATAAAAAAAAAATTGTTGAAGAAGTATGAAATAGAAGTTCTTGGTAATAGGAAAGGATTGTCAATATTGGTGCAGTGTTCTCACGTGAGGGAGGGGAATACTGTTTGCATAAGTTGCTTTGGCATGTTGAACCGGTGATCATGGCCTAATGGTTTATCCACTCGCAAGTGTTTGGGGCCACAAGGTTGGGTGATCCCACCTTGTACCTTTTTATTGTTATTTTTGAGCTGTCACCTTGTACTTATCTAAACTTTAGTCGTTGGGGGTGGGCTAAAAAATTCGCAATTGAACAAAATCTAAAAATTGATGAAATTGTATCTGGGGATTTGATTGAGTTTTGAGTTTGATTAAAATCAAATCAAATTGATTATAAATGGTTTGACTTTTGGTTA